ACTCAGGGATGCAGGGAGGTTTGATCACACAGAAAAAGGTTTGACCTGAGGATACTTTCTTTATTCTGTTGGTCAGTTATTCTCAAATGTGCTCCGTGGACTTCTTGGGAGGATGGCTCCCTTGGAAAGAGCCCTTTCTCCTTCCCCCTCTTCCCCCACCAAGCTTTCCCTCCTCTTTCTTGTTCCTCCCCTCCCTCCCCTCCCTCATCACCAAAAGCATGCCCAGATCCTTTCTCCCATGCCTTCCTTGCTTACAAAACTCAATTTATTTCCCATTGCTCAGGGTAGGGGTTGGGGTGCTTTGATTGTGCTTTCCCTGCAAGGCAGAAGGGGGTTGGACTGGATGGTCCCTGAGACCTTCACTTGGTCAATAAGTTTGCCCATGCCTGATATATATATATACATTATATAAACATTTATTGGGGTCCACTAGAAACTTTTGCTCCAGCAAAGGATCACCGCCTTGTCGGGGCGCTGGAGCTTGAGCACCTCAATGATGTCATGAGCGAAACCGTGAAGGGACACCCAAGACGGGACGGTTGTGTCAGAGAGGTCAGACCAAGCGTGATCCCTGGGGAAGGCAATGGCAAACCACTCCAGTATCCTTGCCAAGAAAACTAAATGGACCAGTACAACCAGAGATATGTCGGTATGCCATTGGAAGATGGGACTCCCAGGTCGGAAGATGGCCAAAATGCTACTGGGGAGGAGCAGGATAAGTTCAACTAGCCCCAGATGTGATGACGCAGCTAGCTCAAAGCCGAAAGGAAGGCTAGCGGCCGACGGTACTGGAGGTGAACGACGAATCCGATGCTCTAAAGATCAACCCACCATAGGAACCTGGAATGTAAGATCTATGAGCCAGGGCAAATTGGATGTTGTTATTGGCGAGATGTCAAGACTAAAGATAGACATTCTGGGGGTCAGCGAACTGAAGTGGACTGGAATGGGCCACTTCACATCAGATGACCACCAGATCTACTACTGCGGACAAGAGGAACATCGAAGAAATGGAGTAGCCTTCATAATTAATAAGAAATTCGCTAAAGCGGTGCTTGGATACAACCGAAAAAATGACAGAATGATCTCAATTCGAGTGCAAGGAAAGCCTTTCAACATTACAGTGATCCAAATATACGCCCCAACCACAGCTGCTGAAGAAGCAGAAGTAGATCAGTTCTATGAGGATCTGCAGGACCTACTGGATAATACACCAAAAAGAGACATTATTTTCATTACAGGAGACTGGAATGCCAAGGTGGGAAGTCAAATGACAACAGCGATCACAGGCGAGCATGGTCTGGGAGAACAAAATGAAGCGGGACGCAGGCTGATAGAATTTTGCCAGGAAAACTCGCTGTGTATAACGAATACTCTCTTCCAACAACCTAAAAGACGGCTTTATACACATGGACCTCACCAGACGGTCAACACCGAAATCAGATTGACTACATCCTTTGCAGCCAAAGGTGGCGGACATCCATCCAGTCGGTGAAAACAAGACCTGGGGCTGACTGTAGCTCAGATCACGAACTTCTTATTGCCCAATTTAGAATAAAACTAAAGAGATCAGGGAAAATAAACAGACCAGTTAGATATGATCTCACTAACATTCCTAGCGAATATACAGTGGAAGTGAAGAACAGATTTGAAGGACGAGATTTAGTAAACAGAGTCCCAGAAGAACTATGGACAGAAGTCCGAGACATTGTTCAGGAGGCGGCAACAAAGTACGTCCCAAAGAAAAAGAAAACCAAGAAGGCAAAATGGTTGTCTGCTGAGACACTGGAAGTAGCCCAAGAAAGGAGGAAAGCAAAAGGAAACCGTGATAAGGGGAGATATGCCCAGTTAAATGCGCAATTCCAGAGGTTAGCCAGAAGAGACAAGGAACTGTTTTTAAACAAGCAATGCATGGAAGTGGAAGAAGACAACAGAATAGGAAGGACAAGAGACCTCTTCCAGAAAATTAGAAACATTGGAGGTAAATTTCAGGCAAAAATTGGTATGATAAGAAACAAAGATGGCAGGGACCTAACAGAAGCTGAGAGATCAAGAGAAGGTGGCGAGACTATACAGAAGATCTGTATAGGAAGGATAATAATATTGAGGATAGTTTTGACGGTGTGGTGAATGAATTAGAACCAGACATCCTGAGGAGTGAGGTTGAATGGGCCTTAAGAAGCATTGCTAACAACAAGTCAGCAGGAGATGACGGGATCCCAGCTGAACTGTTTAAAATCTTAAAAGATGATGCTGTCAAGGTAATGCATGCCATTTGCCAGCAAATATGGAAAACACAAGAATGGCCATCAGACTGGAAAAAATCAACTTATATCCCCATACCAAAAAAGGGAAATGCGAAAGACTGCTCAAACTTCCGTACAGTGGCCCTTATTTCTCATGCCAGTAAGGTAATACTCAAGATCCTGCAAGGAAGACTCCAGCAATACATGGAGCGAGAGTTGCCAGATGTTCAAGCTGGGTTTAGAAAAGGCAGAGGAACGAGAGACCAAATTGCCAATATCCGCTGGATAATGGAGAAAGGCGGGGAGTTTCAGAAAAACATCTACTTCTGCTTCATTGACTATTCTAAAGCCTTTGACTGTGTGGATCATAATAAATTGTGGCAAGTTCTTGGTGGTATGGGCATACCAAGCCACCTTGTCTCTCTCCTGAGAAATCTGTACAAGGACCAAGGAGCAACAAAGCCACCTTGTCTCTCTCCTGAGGAATCTGTACAAGGACCAAGTAGCAACAGTCATAACTGACCATGGAACAACAGACTGGTTCAAGATTGGGAAAGGCGTACGGCAAGGCTGCATCCTCTCACCCAACCTTTTTAACTTGTATGCAGAACACATCATGCGATGTGCGGGGCTGATGAATGCAAAGCTGGGGTGAAAATTGCTGGAAGAAACATTAACAACCTCAGATATGCAGATGACACCACTCTGATGGCCGAAAGCGAGGAGGAGCTGAGGAGCCTTCTAATCAAGGTGAAAGAAGAAAGCGCAAAAGCTGGATTGCAGCTAAACGTCAAAAAAACCAAGATTATGGCAACAAGAATGATTGACAACTGGAAAATAGAGGGAGAAAATGTGGAGGCCGTGACAGACTTTGTATTTCTAGGTGCAAAGATTACTGCAGATGCAGACTGTGCCCAGGTACTACAGGAAGACGCCTACTTCTTGGGAGGAGAGCAATGTCCAATCTCGATAAAATAGTAAAGAGTAGAGACATCAGACTGGCAACAAAGATCCGCCTAGTCAAAGCCATGGTATTCCCTGTAGTCACCTACGGATGTGAGAGCTGGACCTTAGGGAAGGCTGAGCGAAGGAAGATAGATGCTTTTGAACTGTGGTGTTGGAGAAAAGTGCTGAGAGTGCCTTGGACTGCGAGAAGATCCAACCAGTCCATCCTCCAGGAAATAAAGCCCGACTGCTCATTGGAGGGAAAGATACTAGAGACAAAGTTGAAGTACTTTGGCCACATCATGAGGAGACAGGAAAGCCTAGAGAAGACAATTATGCTGGGGAAAGTGGAAGGCAAAAGGAAGAGTGGCCGACCAAGGGCAAGATGGATGGATGGCATCCTTGAAGTGACTGGACTGACCTTGAAGGAGCTGGGGGTGGTGACGGCCGACAGGGAGCTCTGGCGTGGGCTGGTCCATGAGGTCACGAAGAGTCGGAGACGACTGAACGAATGAACAACAACAGAAACTTTTGCTTCAAAAAGCACTCCATGGCTGAAAAAGTTTGAAAATCCCTGTTGTTGGTTTATTTATATAGTAAATAGTTAGTAATTGTTTATTAGAACTATTTCAAGTAATTGCCTCAAATTAGTAATATTTCACCTTCAGAGGGCTTCTTTAATTTTTATGCATCTTCAAATTTTCCCTGATTTATAGTGACTCTAAGGTGACCCTAGCAAAATTCTTCTGGGGTCGAGGGTGTGTGATTTATCCAAAATCACTCAGTGGGTTTTCATTGCTGAACAGAGATTGGTTTCAAAAGTTGTAGTACACCAATCAAACCAATACACTATGATGGCTCATTTTGAAATATAGTGCCAGTACTCCTGTTTTCAAATATTCTGCTTTTAGGGAATGATTTTCACTGTACATAATGGATACTCATTTCATAAGCAACACATGCATAGTTAGTTAACATGACATCTTAAGCCTCCAAATAGCTTTGTTGAAACAGCATGACTGTACAAAATGAGTGATGCAAATCTCTCCCTCCCTCTCAGCATCAGAGGAATACAAAAGTAGATTCCCTTTGAAGAAATATTGCCAAGAAAACCCTGTGATAGGGATGCCATAAGCTGGAAACAAAGGGAAATGGCAACAACAAATACTGTCAGTTATGAATACTTTCTGCGATTATTGATCTCTATGATATTCTTTTGATAAACTTACTAATAACCTCAAGATTCCTTGGCCAAAAAAAGCAAACAAGTAATATTCAGCTATAATTATATAAATCTTTGTGCATTCCATGTGCTGAATGCAATGAGACTTAACTTTTGAAGAAACATGAATAGAATGTCAAATACTAAAGCCTAAACATGCCACTCCAATGCCATATGGAAGGAAAGTGAAATGGTACAGGAAATGTAAATACGGCCATTGATATTCAATTTTCATTCTGAAACTACATGTATTATACCTATGGGCACACATACACACTTATTAAGCTGCTAATTATTTTCTAACCATAGAGCATGAAACAAAGATATTTGGTATGACTTGAGCAATCGTGATAATGTGTGGATTTGTTGAGTGAAAATCTTTTTTAAAATTAATAATAATACAGGTAGAATTTCCCATTAAGCAGTAAATTGGTTTTCTCCCAGAACTTGGAAATATGATTAATTTATTTTTTTTTTCCTTTTCTTCGCTCGGAATCACCCAGTTGGGACATTAGCAAAGTGTGCTGGAGGATTATGGAAACTATAGTACAACAGAGTCATTTTCAAAAGTTCAGTTTCTATCTCACCTATGTAGAGAATCCACCATCCTTTTTGAAGGGAGTCTCCAGAGTATTCGTGGCCATGGGTCACCAGATGCACTGCAATCCAATCGGAGGGCACTGCCATATGTCACATCTGTTCTCTGAGGAGAGGTCCCAGTGATCTTGGCATTTGTAGACTGCTTTTTGACTTGCAGCCATACAGTTCTCCTGGCAGCCCCAACCATATTGGCTGCAATACATTCATAGCTCCCACTATCTTTGGATGAGACATTGCGTATGTAAAGTGTTCCATTTGGAAAAACAAAAAGATTTCCATGGACAAACTGAGAGGTTCGGATCTGTGTTCCATCATAAAGCACCCAGCGGATGCCAGGCAAAGGAGCTGCTTTGGCACTGCAGTGAATGTTAATGTTCTGCCCTACACTTAGGGAAATGTTTTCGACTTTCTCCTGCTGGATAATAGGTGGCAGAGCAGCTATGTTAAGTCTTACAGCAATACTATCGGCTCCTGCCGCATTGTTGGCTATGCACTTGTACACTCCCCGGTCTGAGAAGTTAGTGTCCTTGAGAGACAAAGTTCGGTTTTCATACAGCATCACTCTTCCCTCTGTAGTGGTAACAGCCTGTAAAATTTTCCGATCAGGAAAAATCCAAGAAATGTGTGGGTTTGGGATTCCACTGGCTTGGCAATCCATGGTCACTTTTTCTCCAAAATAAACTGTCATATCTTTGAATCGTGGACCCAGTATTTTGGGCTGGTAGGCTAAGACAGTCAGCAAGACAGTCATTTTATCAGTGCCATGCATGTTCTGAGCACTGCACAAATACTGTCCACGGTCCTGAAGCTGAACATTATGAATAATGAATGTGCCATTTTTCAGGACTTCAAAACGTTGTATTCTTGTACTGGCTGTCATCAATGCTCCTGCAAGATTCAGCAAACAGAGAGAAAAAAATGAGCTAGTGTTTAATTTTTCCTCTGTCTAAACAATCCACAAACTTTCCTATTTAGAAGATATGCTGATATAAAACCAAATTTAGATCACATCTAAAAATGCTTAGTAACTGTGGAGGTAATTGTGATTTCCTATTTTCATCAAAAGGAACACTTTGTCCCAATGTAGGCAAGCTGGTGTCTTCCAGATGGTATAAACTACACCTTCCCTAACCTTAATCAACCGAGACATAATATTTTAATCTTCAAAATCATGTTGTTTTGTTTTGTTTTTTAAAAAAGACAGGTAACTACGAAGTAAACATTTCATGGCATTAAAACCTATAGTGTTATTAAAAAGCTCTCACTTTCAGTTACTTTATATGTGTCATACAATATACAAAACACTCAGCTGAGAGAATAATGTGCCAACAAACGTATTGATTTTTTTGCTACTCTTTTGATTCCAATTGATATAATATACTGGTACAAAAGGTTCATTTGTTTAGTGAGAATTGGTTGATAAAGGTAAAGACTAAAAAATCTGAATGTCCATCCACCACCAGTGGAATTTTCAGTGGTTTGTGTAGTTTTCAAAACACTGTAACTTCTGGGAAGTTAAAAAGTAATAATAATTCCAGAGCTAACTTGTTTTACAGTGAGGATTAACTCCAGACCATTCTACATGACAATTAGGTTTAAGGAAGCTTCCCTCTATAACATATACAGGTGCCAGGTTGTCTACATTTGACCTAACCCATTGGATAGGGCTTAAGTAAGCATCATCCAGATGTACATCTGTGTTCTGCATGAGCAATGCACAAAGAACATGGCTCTTTTTGATGGAGAGTGTTAAAGAGTTGTGACATATTATATCTAGTTAAACCCCATAATTAAAAGAAATCTGTGCATACCAAAATAATGAGGAAATAGGCACCGTACTCCTATACATTTTCAATGAAATGCACTGTCTTTGCAGCAGTGGGGGAGAAATGAAAGTTACAGGTTTTATAGTGTGTTGTGTCTGCATCAAAAGCCTCACCTGTTGAGATTTTTGTCCAGGAAATAACTGGTTTAGGTTCCCCTGTGGCATCACATGGGATAACAGCGTCTGACTCAGCAAGGATGGATAAACTATTTGCCATTTTGGCTATAATCGTAGGCCTTTGCCCTTGTGCCCTGAATTGTGAAGAAGACTGCATGGTGCTGGTATTCAGAGGTTGCACCCCTCCCAATTTAGGCACAAGCAGTACATTTGGATTATTATGATGGATGTTTCTGGAAGATGGCATACTTGAAACTTTCTGAGATCTAGTACTTTGAGTCAGGAATATAGGAGTGACAATTGTGGTTGGTGGTACAGTAACCAAGGAAATAGGAGGTGGTGGCATTGTTGTGGCTTTTAGAGAGGTACTTTGTGTTACAGTCCTTGTGGGTGGGAGAAATTTCTTCTCAGTGGTGTTCAATGGAGTGTGCATATCTGGCACCACAGGTTTAGAGTTTACTCCTAAGTGTTGCAACACCCTGGTTCTGTTAATCAGGTATGGTATCCTGGAATTAGTAAACTGTGGCACAGCTTGATTTATTGTTTTTCCAGACTTATCTCTGACTTCAGGAAGATAGTTACTGGCAAAAAGCCTGGGATGAATGGTGTAGCGGGTTTCACCCTGGTTGCCATATCTGCTTGGAGTATGCACCTTTGGTCTGTATAATGGGGCAGCTGTTGTAGTGGGAAATGTCTCTCTGTGTGAAGAGTTTTTTCTGTCCTGTGTAGTTTGTGCTGCATATGCTGTAATCTCAGGTTTGTTGGTATAGTGAACGGGAGGCTGCTGGGTCACAAAATGATGAAATAGGCTTGGTACCATGAGATAAGGAGGTCTTATGGTCCCTCTTACAGGAATGTGTTTTGGAGGTACAAAAATAGGTGGCTGGTTAAAAATGGGTATTTGCTGTCTAGGAATATTTGGACTAAGGCTGTTGTATGATCTGCCACCGTATGGCTCTTTCAATTGTCCTTGCTTTTGTTGTGTGGTTATTCTGTTGTGGTTAGAATGGAAAGTGAAAAGTTCATTCTGTCTTGAGCTAAATTTTGCTCTAGCATTGTCGCCAGTGGGTCCTTTGTTGTCTGGATGTGCTGCCATGCCAGATGTGTAATTTTTCTTTGTAGAAAAAGGATCTGACAAAGTAAGATTTCTCTGGATTATTGGAAGAAAAGTAGTGGCTAAAGGTACAGATGCAACTGGTAAAACTGGAGAATCATTTTTCCCGCTATTATATACAGTAGTTTGATCATGATGATCATGGAATTGAGCAGTACTTTCCTTTGAAGATAAGAATATGGATGTTCTGCTTTGCCAAGGATTAATTATTTCTTTTATTTCAGTAGGTGTGAAAAGGCGATCACTCAAAGTACTATGATGAGATGAAGTTATTGTTTCCCTCTGAGGGGAAGATGTTGCAACTGAAGTTATTGGTGGAGTTTCTGAAACATTGTGCACTTCTGCTGCAATTGGAGGAGCCATCTGGTGCTCCTCTGTATTCTTAACAGTAGTCATGTGTTGTACAGTGAACAGTCTTAATAAAGGTATTCTTGGGTTAAGTGCAATCTCTGTTGATGGGCCAAAAGGAAGAGATTCTTCAGCAAATTCTGGAATCATCGAGGGACTCAAGTCAGGGAGTGACAGTGAGTTGGTAAAACTCTGTATAGGAGCTGAAGTTCTTGTCCTATATGCCTTTGTAATTTCATTATTTGCTCTAATGTCATTACCTTCCAAAACTTTGAACAATTCATTATCTGTAGGTATCTCATCATTCCCATGCTCTGAGTGATGAGATAAATCTAGCTGTTTCATAGGAGATGTCATTGGTGATTCCTGTGTTGATACTATGTTGTGCCCTTCAAATTCCTGGACACTATTAAAAGGAATTACAGATGTTTTAGGCAATGAAGTAAAAAGTTGAAGAGTTGAAGCCACTTCATTGTCTTGAGCTTTGGTGGGGCTTTGTAATGGAGTAACAGATACAGTTAATAAAGAACTGACTTCCAAAGATTCATATTCTTTTGTTTGCTGTGTTTCACCACCAGGTTTCTGATACTCTCCAAAAGTGGAACCATATGAACTTTGTGTTGCAGCTTCTGTTTTAGATGGTTTTTGAATAATAGGTATTTCCTTTTCAGTAATAGCAGTAGGAACTATAAGCTTTGGTCTCCTGAACCTATTTGGTCTAAATCTCTTTCTCCCATATGTTCTCCTTCGCGGTTGCTGGATAACCTGTGGCTCAGAAGTCATAATTTTTCTTTCAGATGCTGTGATCATTGATACAGTAGTCACCTTGTTGGTAGCAGCACTAGCATCTCTCCATTTTTGCCTTTTGGTATTTCCTATATTAAAACTGGATTCTGGTTTTTGAGTATTTGTGTTTTCAAGGATTATACTTTCAGAATCCTCAAATGGGTCTGAAGAAATTCTTATTTGCTTGAAGAAATTCTTACTCCCCTTTTGAAGAACAGACTCTATCACTGGAGAGGCAGAAGTAAGAAAAGGGGTGGCGGCTTTAACATTAATATCATTGCTAACTGGAGACTGCACAGAGATCACAGCATTATATAGTTCATTTATATTTTTTTGCTGTAATTGTGTTTCTGGACCTTCAGAGAAATGGGCATTTCCATGGGAAGGAGGCACTGGGGATAGATCTAAAGAGGAGAATGCATACTGTGTAGCTGAATGTTCACTGTCCCTTGTTACCAAAGGGATTTGAATATAAGGTAAACTGGTTATTATTTCTTCATATGAGGACCTTTGGGTGAAACCATCTATGCTTTCCAGTTCTGCTGATTCCACCTGATCTGTGTTCACTTCACTGTGACCCCAGGTCTGTGTCTGTCCATTTGGAAAGAACTGAGTATCCTTTGTAACAAATGTTTCTAACTTGTACCAATTTTCTGCAGTGCTGGGAGGTTCATATTCTACAGAGGACAAGGTACTCACTGTTTGATAACGTGCTTGTTCTTGATTATTATCCTGAGAATTCAAGTTAGGAAAAAATGTGACTGAAAATAGTTCTGTCTCACTCAAATGTGGCATATCTGCAGATGACTCATCTCCATTTACTTCCACAGCAGTGTTTAGTGGGGGGCTGGCAATGGGAGGAGGAGAAATTTTGGAGGTTTGATGTACCAACGGAGTCTCTGTAGTTGTCCTTAAAGAAAGAACTGCTGCTGTTGTTGGTCTAGAAAGATTTTTCCCACGGACTTTTGCCAAAATATTGGCCCAATGTTGTGGATTAATCTGTTTGTTTGCCATATTTATTCTCCTTCGGGATTCAAATACCCTCCGGCCCTCTGCAACATTTATTTCTTCAGTCCTGTCCATCCCTTTCCATAATTTCATTTTGCGCTTTCCTTTTTTATTCTTTTTAATTTGAACAGGAGAAATGTTGTCATTCTTTTGTTTAAGCAATACTTCATGATCCTTCAGGTGGATTTTTTTGCTTAGAGTCTCATCTGATTCTTCATCACCTGATCCTTCAGCATCTTCTATGGTCTGCTCCCTTGCTTTTACAGAGATCCTTGAACCAGGGTGCTTCTTAAATTTTGCTCTTTTTGAAGACCTATCAGATACAATTTTATTGACTGCTACTTTAACAGAGAATTGGTCTGATCCATGTTGATTGATAGCTACACATCTGTAGTAGCCACTATCCTTGATATGGCTGTGTGGAATGAACAGTGTCCCATTGTGCAACAGGTATGCATTGGAGGAATTTGATACATCATGAAGAACATGGCTGTTTGGGAGTATCCAACTTAGATATGCATCTGGTATTGCAACTGCACTACAAGGCAGAAGTATGGGATCCCCTACATGTTTTTCTACTTTTGTTGTCTCAGAGTCAGCAGGCTGAATGACTGGAGACTGAACTTGAATTCTGTAGGACATTGTATCTACATCATTTCTCACTTGAGCAACACAGTGGTATATGCCTGAATCAGCATAGGTCACTGATCTGATAACTAACTGACCACTGCTGAGGACAGAATACCTGCTGCCTTCCATTTTGAATGGAGCCTTCAGTTTAGTTCCATCTGGAAGCATCCATTTGATAGAAGGGCTTTCTGACGCTTTGACATTGCAACTCAATTGAGCATCAGATCCTTTTACTACGCTCTGAGCAACCCTTGTATGTTCGTCTTGCTCTATCATGACCCAGCTGTTTCTCTGCTGTCTGTTTTCTTGGGTCTGAAGTGTTTGGGAAACTCTAGTAGAAAGAGAGAGCACCACTTTTGTCCCTGTGCTTTGACGTCGATTTAATTGAATGTGTATCAATGGTTGCATCACCCAGGTAGGCTCAGCAAGGATTCTCCCTTTGACACCTGTGTAGTAAAGGGCATCATAATCAGAACCTTGCTTGTAATGATAGCTTAACTTTGGTTCATGGCTCAGCACATGCTCCCTTTCTAACTTGACAGGCACTTCACTGTAATAAGCAATAAGCTTCCACAATTTTTCATAATTGTCTCGGCTCATGAGGCATTCCAAATCCAGGGAAATTGTAGCATTGACCTCAATTTCCCAAGGAGAGATCTGGTTCCACTGGATTTTGGAAGAATCTGTTGGTTTTTTGATTTCACAGTTCAGATTCACTAAGTTTCCATGTTCATCAGTCAGGTTCAAGGTTATGTTCCAAGGAGACAGCTGAAATTCTTCCACAGGAAGCTCAGAATTGTCATCTTCTTCTTCCTCTTCTTCCTTGAAGCTGGTACTCTGTTTCAGGGGAGATTGTATGATGGGCTTTGTGCAGGAAAAATCTTTTACATTTTGAATGTCTTGTTTCTGGAAATGGTTGGGGAAAGTGCACTTAGGACAAAGTTGGCCTTCTTCATAGGCTTTGTCTTTTTTGCACTTGAGGACACCTGGAAGACCAAAAAGGCATTCTGTAACTTACATAGTACAGTTTTGTTTTTTTAAAACTAGTTGAATAAACAGTGCTCACACCCAACTAACTTCATTAGCAAGTTCTGGAGAAAGCAGGTAACTAACTTCTGCTTTATTTTGAGGCCCTGCTTTTAACGTTATGACTGTGAATCTGACTCCAGCTAAAGATAAAAGAATGGATCAAAGGGGACAGGTTTTGCTTTTACTAATTATTGTCTCACCATACTTACTTCTATCCATCAGAAACTTTAATAGGCCTGTGGTTTGCAAAACTTAATTCTGCAACAATGGGAACTAGCAATATGATATTGTTATGTGGACCATGGCAATGCTGATCAAGAGCACCGCACTTCAGATCAGCATACTGTTTGTGGCCTCTGTAGATGGCCCCTGAGTAGCAAGCTCATAGATGTATTTATGAGCGTGTGCAAAAAAACAAAACATTGGAGTCAACTAAGTAGATCTCTTTCTGCTTAAAATTATTATTAAAAGTTCAAAAGGTTATAAATGGGCTGTGCTGCTGCTGTCACACCTAGCTCCAACTCTCCTCCTTCCTGGTCTGCTGATGTCAGAATTGGGTGCCTATGAGATCAGGAAAAAAAGAGCGGAACTGCCCCATTCCTCACACTGGTCGCACAGGGTGCCCCATTCTACTGACAGCAAAGGTACTTGTGATAGTCAGGACCTCACATGGAGCTCTGGGACTAGCTAGCTGTGTGTTAGTGACATGGAGGAGGAAAGATGGTGTTGCAACAACAGTGACTGCACTCCTCAACAATCAGAGAAATGGTTCTGGATTTGGTGTGAATGTGTTGGATCCTGAACCGCTCCTTAGCATAATGACACCTGACTAAACTGCTCATTGTAGATGAGTTTGTAGACAGCTTGCTTGTTTGCTGGCTTTCTGTCTGAAGTTGGCTTACAATGTTTTTTTTCTTTATCATCCAATCACCATAGTATGTCTAAATTTAAAGAGAATTACTGCCATTGACTTTGACTGCATCACCTGTTGATATAGTAAATGAGCTGTTAATGTGCCTTATTTCAGCTAACTTGGAAAACCAAGGCTCTGGATCTGGCTAATTGCCACCAAGCATGATTCAGGTGATTCTGCTAATGAATTTCATCTGGCTTGCTTCTAGATTTTTCTATATAATGAGTTCCTAAGGCACAATTTGTCTGGGTGCAAATTTCAGGGTTGTGCAAGTGTACCGACTCTTGGACTTGATTTTATGTGCCTTTATTGAGGGAGGGGGGGGGGCAGCATGGAGCATTGGTTTGGGTTTCAGTGCTGAACTGTGACTGTGGGAGGCCAAAGTTCTTGGCCATGAAAACCCACTGAGTGATCATGGACAAGTTATACTCTCCTAGTCTCAGAGGAAGCCAAACACAAACCTGCCTGAATTAACCTTGCTTAGAAAATCCCATGATAGGTTCACTTTAGAGTCACTACAAGTCAGAAATGACTTGAAGGCATACAGCAACAACAACAACAATCTAAGGGTGTTATTATTTGTTCACTGCCTGGCACACTGAATTGTGGAAAGGGAAACTATATTTTAGAAATAAATAAATAACCCAGAATTAACGTTTTTTTAAAAAAAAGAATTCAAAAATTCTTGGCATATTTCAGAAAAGGGGAATAAAAAGGAATGACTTTCTCTTACCTGTTGAGTTCTCATTCCAGTCAAGAAGCCATTTCAACCTACAGTCACAGGACCAAGGGTTCCCATGAAGGTAGAGATTCTCTAGCAGTGGCATTTTTTGGAAAATGCTCTTAGGCAGTGTTTTGAGGGCATTTTCAGACAAGTAGAGGTGTTTTATTGTTGATAGCCTGAAGTAATCAAGGACCAAAAAAGTAGAAAATGTGTTGGAATGAAGCTGCTGGAGCAAGTTTCCTTCCAAATGGAGAAGTCGGAGGGAGGTTAATCCATTAAAAGCATTTGGGTGGATGAATTCAATGCGGTTGTGGTCCATGTGCAATCTCATTATGCTGGAAAGCCCTTGGAGAGTCTGACCGGTTACAACTTGCAGCTTGTTGTAGCTTATCTTGAAGACCTACATTGACAGAGAAATCACTAGGTCAATGCTTTTAACAGGAATTCAATACTACTGAATAGCACATATGTAATACAATACACTGTACCCAAACTATGAAAACTAAGTTACCCTTTGAGCTTCTGAAATCAGTGGGACTTCATTTTGGATACTGATTCTCATGGGGTTGAAAATATAGCTAACTTCAACTGGGTTGAAACACAAAAAATTGAAGATGACTGATAATAAAGAACTGCAACATGAAACTAATGTGAGATCTTCTGGAGGCTTAAGGAAGCAGTGCAATAATATAATATAATTGGAATATGTGTAAGGACTATGGAACAGCCTCAGGCTATTATTTTTGGATGGCATGATTTTAATATTGAATGAAATTTTAAATTTTTAATATGTGTTAATTTTAATTAAATGGATTTTAAGCTTAATGTTGTATGTCTTTAAGGCAATGAATAATTGCCATATGGAAGCCATGTTGAGTCCTTCTTGGGGTAGAGAAAGGTGGGGTATAAATAGAGTAAATAATAATAATAATAATAATAATAATAAGAATAAGAATATAAGAATTAAAATAACTGCTCTACTGTACATTTTTAAAGTATCAATACATGTATTTCAAAATTATAGGCCTATGTTATTTGCATATGTGAACTTATCTTCAGTGTTGTATTCTTTTCTACTCATCTATCTATATGACTTTCCCCAGCATGAAAAGAATTGATCAATGTCTGTTCATATAGAGCTCAGGGACCTTGCAAGAATCCAAACATGCACACCTATTACTGATTTTGCACATGCACGCACATGCAGTGGCTTTACCTGTAATGATGTCAGATCTTTTAAGGCACCATTGGGTATATTTTGGATGTCATTGCCATGAAGCATGAGCAATTCCAATTTCGCAAGTCCTGCAAATGAATTTTCAGATATAGCCTGGATGCTGTTAAACCTGAAAAGAAAACACATTTTAATGTAATATGGAATGAATCATCATTCTGTGTTGAGAAAAAAATTCATTTTAAGTAACTGCCCTGTTCTTAAATCATATATGCAAGCTGAACAAGTTAATGAAGCATTTTAACAAGCTGGTTTTTCAAATATGGGCCATAAAGTCAATTTAATGTTTCTTTTACCATAAATTAAAACAGAAAAAATAAAACATATACAATTTAGCTGGAACTTAATTCCACGGAAATATCAATTAGAGCAGGTTTTTCCTTTCTCCACATTCTCGAAATGATTGGTTTATAATTCAGTGGCAGGATTCCAAACTATTATGTGATGGAGACTGACAAATCAGCAAACCTGCAGGTATTCCAATAAAATGTAATGATAAATCAATAAAAGTTTGCAGAGGATATTTTCAAATGGATACAAGCCAAACTATTTCTGGAAGCAGAAATCCACAGCTACTAGTTTTAGTAATAGGTCTACACAGGTAGGCCTGCAATTTGTTGCTAGTCTTACCTCAATAGACCCATTTTATCAGTGAAATGTATCTATGTGTTGACTTATAATTCAGTAATTCACTGAGTGGGTTTAATTTAGTTGGGATTATTCCACAGGATTCCAGGCTGTAATAGTATATAGTTAGTCATTTAACTGTTGGCATATAATTGCCTGTTGTTTTTTTTTTCAGATTAATTAATTAAACGTAGCAGAATTTTAGCTTACAGAGATATCATAAAAGTGAGTTATGATCACATAAATCAAACCTACACCATCATAATTCACTAACAGGAGACCAGTCATTATCTGTTCTTCACTATGAGAATGAAATTTATTGAAATTTATCTCCCTAATGTGAATATGAGTTGTACACTTGAAAATTACTCTGACCAATAGAAATGACAGTTTACATGAAAACTGGTTGCTCTGATTCGATAAACAAAACCTTTTTGTAAGAATGACAGAAGAAAGATGAATGACATAATAACTAAAGCAGGGAAGCAAATTCAATAGACTTTAAAAAGAAAGGAATCTAAGAAAGCATATCAGTTATGATTACATTTGAGGGAAAGGTCCTTGTGTTAGTTCCTTTCTGTATTCCTCCATGACAGGAGGTTGGCCTTTTTGGCCCTTGAATTCCCTTTCAACTCAGTGATTCTAAGATTAGATGGAAATTAAATGGCTAAACTACAGATAAAAGACAGGATGAAGGCAAGAAGCAAATGTCTGCTAAATTTACTATTGAACTGCCATGCTAGTTACATGCTGAAGAAAAATGAATGGTATTTGGAGGTATTTCACAGTCTGCCTGAAGTGCCAAATAGATGTAGACCACAAAAAGGTTTTTTAAATAAGGTTTGTTCCATTTATGGTCCTCTTTCGTGTATGACTTTTGATCTACACAGCAATGGTATCAAATCACAGTCCTGTTGAATGGTTTTGCATAGTGCTACAACTAGACAATATACGGTATGAATACTAAATATTATGCTGAAAGAATGTAAAATGCCACTGTAAAAGTGCAATACAAACCCAAGATTGATTCGTTCCACATGCTTAGAAATGCTTGTTGGCACAGCTCCTAAGGACCGAAATGTGCAGTGAACTTCAGTGGGAACATAGCAGGCACATGGACGAGGACATGCAAGGGAGACTTCCGGTAGGCCCAGAGTGAGAATCAGCACTACGGACAGTGCCTTCCAGCTGGGTTGCTTGAACATCTTCTCAGGTTTCTTCATTTTGCTGTACCTATTGCATTTGAAAATAAGAATAGACTGAACTGACTTCATTTTTAAACTGATATAAAATGAGACAATGTAGGTATTACACTAATGCTATCCTTCAAAATATGTGCACAGAAAGAGTTTTAGAATATAACTTTAAATGCTAAAATAAGTTACAGAGAAAAGCAGAATCAAAATAGTGTTTAACATTTGGTCTTTAATTGGTAACTGGTTATATAGGTCTGGAACAAATCTGTCATGTCAGCCAACATATGAACTAAAACTTGAAAAGGGAAAAGACAACAACATATTGACCATTGATACATTGGTGTCAGTAGGGGTGTGTGCAAAGTGTGGATCCCTCTGGGAAAACCATTGCAGGGATGACACCAAGGCATCAGAAGGAGCAAGTCCATGCTTCACCAGAGCCAGGCTTCATAGCTTCACTTCTGTTGTTGCTGTGGCTGGCTACACGTAATCCCCAGACAACCTAATGTACTGGTTGGCTTCACCTCTACAATGATTTCCCCCATTTTCCTCTACTTGGCCTGCTCAGTGCCCAAGACAAACTGGGAAGAGGAAATCTTTCTTAGTGGGAAACTGAAGGGTTAGCATGATCCAAGGAAGAAAAAGCACATGAGAAGATGTCACAGTGTGGAGTATCAGAATTGAAAATATGTATATTCAGGTCAGCCTCACATTTCTTTGGTGTATATAATTGTGCAATAATCCCCTCATTGTCATGCAGGGTGGGTTCTGCAGGTTTAGACAATGGAACAATGTAATGTATAATCCAAGGGGGCTAAGAATGAGGAATCTCCACACTGCAGCACTGCATTGATCTTTTTTGACAGGGCCATTCTTTATTATTCCTCTATTTTGAAGCTGCCATATATAGAGGGAATCAGGCAATATGCTTCAGGTAAATATCCCAAATGCATCAGGTTGTGTCTGATCATGGAAACTAAGCAGCAGTATCCCTGGTTTGTGTTTGAATGGCTGACTAGCAATTAATATCAGAAGTGTTGTGCTTGTATATACTTAATGAACACTTTTTCTTTTAAGTATATATGTTTCAGTGTTTAGATGACAACATCAGTTTGCATCAGTATGCAATATATCTTGTAATGTATTATTGTAATAGTTTCAATAAATATCCATGGCTACAAGTAATGACATACCTGGAATTCAGCATTAGCACAATACAGGCAGTCCCCAAGTTATGAACATGATAGGTTTCAACAAACCCCTCAACCTCTGAGAATGCCTGCCATAGATGTGGGTGAAACATCAGGAGAGATTGCTTCTGGAACATGGCTATACAGCCTGGAAAACTCATAACCACCTAGTGATTCCAGCCTGAATGCCTTCAACATCACAAGGTAGATTCTGTTGGTTTGTTATGTTGAATTTATATGTACAGTTTTTTAGTGTAGCTTCAGTGCCCCCCCCCCCCCACATATATATAAGCTTTGGGAAGGGTTAACAATTATATGGTGTTTGTTTTGTTGTCTATGCCTCTGATCAGAAGATTTCACCTCACTTTCTGTCCTTGTGATAATTGGATTTTGAAACATTTGGCTTGTTGTGGAAATAAGGATTGGGGATAAAGCTTGAGTGGAGACACTTTTTCCCATGACAATTCTTTCAGGAGTGAATTTCCCTTCTGAGGGGTAGATTTCCCTCACTTCCTGTTGTCTCACCCCTGTACTTGACTATGAGTAATTTGTAAGCCAGGGGTTTGTAACTTGGGGACTGTCTGTATTGGTGACTGTAGTCTTTACCCAAAGGGAGAATTTCTGTATTGAAGTAGCAAACCTTTTCTTCTGAAAACCAAAGCAAGCTAAATCCAGTGTTCTGAAACTGTGATATGATTCTGACAACATAAACCCACAATAATTACACTTCATTTCATAAAGGCAGTCCATACAATAAAAAGTTGTTGTTATACCCTACACTGTGCATCCCATTCTCCAATATCTGCTTGGCAGACATGGAGGCATGAGACAGCATAGTTCATGCACATAAGCTTCTACATGCACAGAATCCCATATGACCAGAGTCCAAGGACAAGTGAAAGTCTTTTAATAGGAACATGGGAAGCTATCTTAAACTCAACCCAGATCTTAGTTCATTTTCTAGACATTCCTGTTGACTCCAACTGCTCTTCTAAGTTTACAGTATTTTTAATTACAATACAGAGACACCGATGACTGGCTATCTATATAGTCTACCACTGAACTATGGTCCCCAATCTGTCATTTAGAAGTTTATATCCTGATGTTTTCTGTTGACACCCATGCTCAACATGGGGAAATCATGGATGGGACAAGGAAGCTGTGCAATATCAAGTATGGGTACAGCATCAGAAACCCATGAAACTTTTCAGTGTGTGTGAACTCCCTTTGTTTGGAAGCTGCAAAGGAAATTATGCTGTAAAACACACCTACAATACTTAAAACACTGCTACAACATATCCCAAACCTTCTTATAAAACATGTACAAAGGGACAAGCAGGTGAGACTGAAAAGTGTATCATGTAATTATAGTTGAACAGTTAACACAAATTATTTTGACTAAAGCCGCCCATTAAATAAATAAAAACCAGTCCTTAAACATCTAAATCCAATGAATACATTTTAGATGAAGCATTGCAAGCAGCAACCTGTACAGCTGCAAGCAAACCATGATTGTATAGATAACGCCTCTCTTTAAACAGAAGTTAAGCCTGCCCAAGTAAATATGAAACAGTTTCAATGGAATAGACAGGCACATAAATGCTACAGTACTAATATATGAACTGTCCCCATTTTTCTTGGATTAGCTTATAAAAATGTGACCTATTTCCCAAACAATCAGCAAACAGGTAATTTTATGCCAACCTAATCTTTAAAATCACAATCTAAGGATCATTAAAACAATAACAACAACACACTGAGCACTTTAATCAGGTACATTTTATAACCCATGAAAATTACAATGTATTCAATATATAACAAAGTATCACTGGAGTTTTGTGGGTGCAGAGTCAAACATATTCCATAATATATTATGTGGCATCAAAATGCCTGTCTTAGCTTCATAAAGCTTTCTTAGGAAATGAATAGGTAGAGGAAGTTTTGTCAATTCCTGCTGAAATACAGCACCTGGTATTAATTGGCAATCTCCCAGCCAATTATTGTGTTTAGCTTCCAAAACCAGAGAGAATCTTATCTCTTTGGAGTATTTACACTCTCTCAGCATCAGAGTAAGAACGTGGTAGACAACTTTTGAACAAATCTCGCCAAGAAATCCTTATGGCAGGCTTATTTTAAGGTTGCCGTAACACAGAAAGCAATTTAAGGTACATGACAATACCAAAAAACCTTGCTGAACTCAGAGATTACCAGTTACCTTCTCTGAAATATAGCCTACAGCACCTGGTATTTGTAATGCCCAATCACAAAGACAAAAGAAAATACATGTTCATAGGAAGTTTTTTTTTAAAAAAAATATGTGCCAGTTTGCCTTGTCTGCTAAAAAAGGTACCACAACCAGGTCAGATGCAACAGCTTTATTGAGATGTCTTTTGTTTGTGACAACAAAACTTCACATGTTAAGCAACTGAAACTTGAGACTATGTCTGGAATCCAGTTGGTGACATAATATCCAATTAGGTTTTTAAAGTCATTGCAGAAAAAAATATATCTGTTCACAATGCCTTCTATGCAGCCAACTGACCTTTTTCATACTGGAGAAGTTGTAGGAAGGCAGAATCACTTGCTGTGGTTTTTAACTGTTTTGATGGATTCTATCTGTGAATTTTTTTAATGCTGCTTGTGTTTAATTCTATTTTAATGTTTGCTTTTTTGTATATTTTACATTGTATATTAATGTTTTTATGTCAAGCTGCTTTCAGTCCCCTTTGGGAAGATAAAGTGGGGTATAAATAAATAAATAAATCACAACAACAACAACAACAACAACAACAACAACAACAACTTGGGTAGTGTCCAGCTGCAGGTCCACAGCCAGAAGAAAAGGTTTTTCTCATGGATCCCCAGCAAGTGCATGCGCATTCACAGGAGATCCAGAGGAATATCATCTTCTTTCTTCTCCTGCCAACAGGTTCATAGCCAGATGCTACCTGAGTAACTCCCCTCAATATTCCCCAGCCAGTAATTAGATGTAAGGGCATATTCCAGCATGGAAAATGTCAGGTGTGTTAGAAAAAATGGGGAAGGGGAAGGAAGTATGCTGGCAGAGTGGTATGTTTCATGAGACTAATCTAGGGGAACATCTACAAAGAAGAAGTACAAATGCATGAGCATTTCCGTATTGTAGGGAATTGTAGGGAAATGGACAACTTATAGCACCACAGTGCTGCTAAGATCCTTGCTCCTCATTTTGCAAGCCACTGGTTCAATACAAAGCATCATAAGACTGTGTCATTTGTATTCAAAATGCAATTTTTCTCTGTATGTATGAAACTAGCTGTTTCAACTTCTAAGCAACAAGGCAGTCATTCCTTTCATATCACTATCATATGTAAACCAATATAACTTGAGAAATGGTTACATCACTCCAACAGAGGTTTCACAAATGTTTGTGGTCAAATTGTTTTTTTTAGAGTTAAAAGACATGTCTAAAAATCCTCCAAAATCCAGACTATCATGAAGAAGCTGCATCTTGTACATAAAGCATTTTTTCTTTAATGAAAGTTGTCATACTTGAATATCCAACAATTTCCTTTCTTCTTTAGAGGATGCATAAACATCCACTTCTGCTCCTATAATTCCCTCTTGGAGTCAAATAGAAATTATAACATCAAAAGTTGAGTTGCTATTCAAAGTCTCAAGCTCAGGCTAAGTGGAAAATGATGTGCAGCATGGGTTCTTCCTTCATTCCTTTCCTTTTGACAACAGATCATGTACTGAAAATGCATACTTTCATATTATTCTTCATTTCCATTGATATTTTGCACATCAGTAAATAATATGCAGGCAAGCAGAAAAGAATAATAACTTACTGTTGCAGGAGAGTATC